TATATATATATATAATTGGAAGGATTTATCTATTTAATTAAACTTAGTCATCAGAAAGAATGAAATATTTGAAAATTTTCTGCTTCAAGTTTTTATATTTTGAAGAAAGACAAGAAGCTTAATTACGATTGGAAGTGTGCATGGTTCAAATAGGTCAGCAACTCCTCCATTTGTGGATTCTACAGAAGAAATAAATGATGAACCTCTTCTACTTGCTATCATTGAAAATGCAAACATGGATGGTGTAAAACATTTGCATACAAAAGATCCTCGTTCAAAGTTTGTCTTTGATAATACATATATTAATTTTGCCATTGAAACCTTTTTCTGCAGTCTGTTTGCTATTACTACTGTTTGATTGCAATAAGCTAGATGTGATCAAATAATCAATTCTACAATTATTTTGATTTACTTTTTAATAAAGTTAATTTATGAATAAAATTCATAATATCATCGTTTCATTAAAATTTGTCAAGTAGTGAAAAAAAATACTAGCAACTATTATTTTTTATTTTTTAATACTTGTTATGGACGTAATTAGTTTTTTTATTAATTGCACTCATTCTAATCAAATATAAACTATTTTCAGATACTTCTGGGCAGCAGTGATTTTGATATTTGTATTACTAGCTTGTTTCCAAAGTTTTAAACAAGTCAAAATGTACATAACTACTCCAATAGCAACAAATATTGAAGCAGCTTATCCAAATCAAATACCATTTCCTGTTGTAGCTGTTTGCAATAATAATCAATTTAGGTTAAATCATATGTAAATGATCTTTCATATTTATATTGTTTTTAAGAAACAAATATTTATGTCTCATGTTAAAAAGTAAGTAAACTTTTCAACAATTTTTCAAAATTTTGCAAACCTGTTACAATATACTCCATAAATAAGGAAAAAAAAAGATGTGACTTTGAAGAATTTAAACATGAGCTATACCAAATTGCCAAATTGCAAAAACAGATACAATACAAACAATGTGATAATTATTAAGTATATTTTGCTTGAGATCATGTTATTTTTTTCTGAAGAAAAAAAAACAAAATTTAAAAGGTAACAATGAAAGATGAATTAGTTAAATGACACAAATAAAAGAGTAAATAGCATTTTTGAAAAAAATTCAAATATTTTCAGGTTAACATATTTGACCGGTCCAGCAATTCAAAATCGTAAACCTAAAGAACCAAGAAGCAATGATAGTTTATTTAAACACGATAATATAACAGTTTTTGATAAAGTGTTGTTAAATGCTTGGGACATGGATGCGGTCAAATTTCTCAGAAATGCAGCCCACTGGAAATCTCGTATGATTTTAAGGTAAGGAAAGTAGAAATGATGTAGATTGTTAATGATATTTTGTACTTTTTAGTGAATTGTGCTTATATGTAATAGCGCTAATTTGTTTAATCAAAACTTAATGGTCGATTTTAGGCACCGTAACTACCTCCTGAATTTCAAACATTGCATGCTGTTGTGCTGAAATATTCAGTGAAATTATCTCCAAGATATTCTATGTCATATCTATTCAAATTTAGCTAACTAACAATATATATTTAGCTGCACTTGGCCAAATGGTACAAGTTGTCGATTGTCAAATTTCAAAGCAGTTTGGACTTTAACAGGTCTATGTTGGGCCATTAATGTTGATCCAAATAACCCGCACTACATATCTTCTAGTGGTGAGAATTTACTTTAAATATTATGGAAAATCTGCATATTATCAAATATAATTGATTATTGCATTTTTTGTTTTACTAAAAGAAAAAAGATTAATTTCTCTAATTAAAACTATTTATTCAAAAAAAAAAAAAATCATTAATAAGAAGTAGCTTACGTTAGCATAAGTAATTTCCCACTGTAATTTGCTGTGTTAAGAAATAATTATTTTTATATAAGCTAATTTTAGGATCAAACAATGGTCTTAGGTTGTTACTCAATATTGAACGGTATGAACGTGTTCAAAGTTGCACACCATATTTTCGAACAACAAGCCTTCCAGGGTTAAAAATATTAATTTACAATCAAAGTGATATTCCTGAATCATCACTTCATGGTGTTAATGTTCCACCAGGATATACAATGGAGATTCCATTTAGAATGCAAAAAGTATTTTTTAATATCTTTTGTAACTATTTTACTACATATTTGAAGCAATTTAAAATTGATATAAATTTTGAATGCATTTATGCTAAAAAAATTATAATTCAAATAAAGTACAAGGAATTATTTTATACTGCAAATAGAATGATAACTTGTAATGATTGTATTCTTAAGAGACACAAGTACTCTGGTGCAGGATGTGTAGAAGAGAAAGACAAAAATCTTGCAAAAATGTTAACTGTTGATGATCCACAAAATATTCATTCTTGTAGCATACGAAAATATTTGCGAAAAATCGAAAAAAATTGCAAATGCTCCATGGCTCGAGCATACAATCCTAATCCCGGAGGTATTTATATATTTTGAACTTTATTTTGTGTACAATTACAATAAATTATATTATGATGAATATATGAGAACAAGTTTTTTTTTTTCTCGTCACTTATGAAAAATAAAAATTCTTTAAGCAAATGAAGTCATTAACTAATTGTTCGTTATAAAAAATAATATTTAGTACAAATAATTTGTTATTTACAATAAATATATTTGCATTTAATTATTTGCTGTAACTAAACAAAAGTTTACGACAAGTATCATTTTTAGCTTTCACGTTTTGTAATGTAGAGCAGTACTTTACGTGTGTACTACCTACTCTACAATTTGGTAAAGAAAGGGGTTTCGACCGATTTGATTGTCCTTCCCTTTGTGATGAAGTGGATTACACGGCTTGGCAGGATATGACTCTGTTACCAAACAATATATTTCCTTCTTTGATCGATACTACTGAAGAAGAAGATGTTGAAGATGTTATCGATGATTATGATACTGAAAATGAAGTGAGCTTGAAATATTTAGAAGCAGCATTACGATCACGTAGTAAAAATTTATCACTTGCTTGATATTTAACAGAACTGACTGCTACATTCATAGAGATAGATTATTTTGCGTTTCAATGACTATGATTTTTGTTTTCAATTCAGTAATTTGAGAACAAAAATGAATTTACAAATTAGTGCATTACAGTTAAATTTTTCGTCTCGCATATATTATATGAGAGGCGCGGTTATTTTGAAAAAAATATTATGATTTCAAATTTATGCGATTCACATACGCAATTCGCATTTATGCTAAAATGATAATGTGCTTTTTTTCTATGCTGACCTTTTAACTTAATATCTAAATTAAAGTTGAAAATAATTTAGCAGGTTAAGTAAATAAGATAAATAAATCATTTATTTTTAAATTGATAATCAAAGGCGAGTATTGCCAAATCTCACAGTGATAGTTGAAAAATAAGGTAAAAGAGCATTTTACTTAATAAAGAATTATTTTTTATTTCTAAATGCTATTTTATTGAAAACTCTTTTTAAATTAATGCAATAAAATTTGTTTATTGAAACCTCAATTTTTGATTGCATATTTAATAGAATACCATTTTGGCAAGATATTTGACTTAAGTTTAAAAGTACTTCTTTTGTAAAAAAAAAAATTAAATTTTCAGCTAAATTTTATGGATTCTCATCGAGATGAGCATTTTCAGTGTCAAGAAAATCAGCTATTGAGTGATCAGCAAGTAATATTTCTATATTTTCTATCAAACTTATTTGTTCAGCATTTAATTTGTTTTTCAAACAAAATATGTCAATTTCAAGATACGGCAAATTAAACGTGCTGCGCAGCGTGCTTATGAAAAGCAGTCTCGTTATCAGGAGGATATACAGTTAAGAACAAAACGATTGATATTAAAGTTACAAGAAGCTACACAGAAGTAAATAAATCTATGTTGTTAAATAATGAAGTTTGTCAGAAATAGTAAATGAAATCTGAAAAAGAAAAACTTTTTTTACCATAATTTTGTGTTCTGTAAATAAAATGTCATATGAAATAAGTCAAAAACATGAGTGAAAAAGTTTAATCAACTTCAGTAATTATGAAGTAATTGTTGTGGATTTAATTTTTATCAAAGATAGTAAAGAAAGATTCGTTAAGTTTGAAAGTTATTGAAATTGACATTAGACAATAATTTGCTTGAGCTAAATTAGGATACTTATGCTAATAATAATTCGTATAAATGCTCTTAGGAATTGGATTTTTGAAAGAAATTTTTGATTTTAATGCTAATTTTGTTGAATAGATTGATTGAAAATGGTTGGGGTTGGACGGATAATACATATCGAAATGCATTTGAACGCCTGAACACATCAATTAGTTGCTTCATAAAGATGCCTGTAAATCATGCAGAAATGTTTTCTGCAATTGAGAATCCATCAGTGCTCACTGAAGAATCACGAATTTCTTTAATTCATGGAGTATTGTTTCATTTTTCATTACTTAATAATAATTATCATTAATAATATTACCAATAATGATAATAAAAGGTTTCTAAAAAATATAGTAATAAGGTGGTAATAAAATAATGCTTAGTTTTAAGCTTCTTGCATCAGATGATGATCCACTCAGCATTCAACGATTCCAAACGATGGTGCAACTACGCGAAGTATACGGTGAGCGTGTTGATGAAGTAATGAAGGAACTTCAAAAATTCAGCAATACAATACACAAACTATACAAAATCTATGATCCGTCTAACTATAAACTGTCATTGGGTACTGATCTGAAACGTATGAATACAACATTAGCATTAGCACAGCAGGTTACATTTACTTTTTTGAAACAAATATTCAATTCGTTTATAAAGTAAAAGAAAGTTTTATTCAATTTATGCATAAATAGAGTATTCTTATTGAAGACTGTTTATAGTTATCATTATTTATCACTATTCATTTTTAACATTCTTCGATATTGATTCTAGTACGAAGCTGGAAGGCTTCAACGACGTGTTTGGGCTGAAAAAATGCAATCACGAAATATGCGACATTTTTTTGATCAAGAATTTTATGAAGTATTTTATTTTACTTTTATCTTTTGATTATATAATGATACTTTTTTGAGTTCTCCTAATATTTTTTTGTCCTTATAACTATACAAATCAATAGTCAACCTAAATAATGGATATGAATTTCTTGGTGAGAGATTTTAATCCTTTATCCTGTCGAAAATTTTTAAAATTTATTCTTTCTAGAACTGGTACAATCCAATGTTGAAAGATTTAGATGAACAGTTAGTGCGAAATATTGCTGATATAGCCGATGATGAATTGCCAAAATTGATGGCTTCTATCGATGATGGCAAAGGTTTACAGGTCAAGTCTAGTACACTAATTCATTTTCAGTAAAAAAGCAAATTTGAATATTTCAAAATTTCGTTGCTGTCACTGAAAAATCTGCATTTTATGAATGTAAAAATATAGAAAAAGAGTAATAGAAAAATCGCAGTGCAATCAACGTCGAAAATAAAAAGTATACTGAAAAATTTAAATAAATACAAAAGTAGATAATTTTGTTGATTAAAAATTTTGATACAGTAAAAGAGAATGAAAAAAATTTAGCTCTACCATAAATAATTGTTTTAAAATTACTGTTATGTTGTCGTTGGATTGCAATTTTTATAACATTTAGTCTGCAAAATTGATAAGAATACTTTTCAGATAGGTTCTATATTATATTTTGGTGATACTAAAACGAAACACAAAGAGCAGTTTGCAAAATTTGTTCATGATATAGTGGATTGTACATTTGGCAACGTTAAAAATGAAAGTATTGTTCTACTCACTGCCTTCAAGAAAGCCATGAATGAATTTCAGGTAATAAAAGAAATTATATAAGCTAAAGAACGAAATCATTGATACGAAACGTTTATCTTTGATATATATCAAACATAAATCTTGTAAAAAATTCATAGTACATTCCTTATAAACACGCATACTTAATTAACTTCATTAATTTAATAATTTGCTGTATTTGTACTTGCAATAACAATCATTGACTACCTAAATTTATGGTTTTTTCATTTTTATTCAAATAACTCGGAATACAGTCTAGTTTCTAACTATAAATCAGATGTTTGTAATATATAAGGTTTCAGTTTTTCGAATTATACTTGTAAGCATAATATTTCAGTCAGCGTATACTAATTTATATCATAAAGAATTACCCACTTATTTGGCCAATTTTGATTTTGGATCAGAGTTTGTTGAGTAAGTATTTACTTTAATTTTTGCTGACTTTGTCTTGTTATAAATTTAGCATTATCTGTTTGAATTATCAATCCAAGTAGTGTGTTAATTAATTAGCTCAAAATTTTTATAATACTTAACTATATTTTTATATTTTGACAAAAATTATGGTAAAACATAAACTGCATTATTATTTTCTGAAATATTTTAGGCAGAATTTTGCAATGGTAAATGTTTTCTTGCATCGAATGACTATTGAAACATGGAGGCAAGAAAGTACATATAGTATATGGAGTTTGGCCTGTAAGTATGCTTTATTTCTAAGAAAACTTCTAGCGTTGAATGAAAATCTTGGCAAATATTGATAGATTAAGTTTCATGGAAAGATTTGAAAATTCATACAAGTTGTAAAATTACTTCTATTTAATATTTTATCCTTGTTCTGATGACGATCACTCTATGGTTATGATAATGTAATGAGTATCAATGTATTGAATTTGTGACTAGATTACAACTTATATTACTTGAAATTTTAATTGTATTAATTCAGGGTGCAATTTCTAAACATGAAAGAAATATTTTATAAAAGTGTGAAAAAAAACAATTAAAATATTTTTTGAAAATAATAAGAAGTGATGACGTGAAATCAAGGAGCAAATTAATATATGTGTAAATTTCAGGTGATGTTGGTGGTGCACTTGGTTTGTTTCTTGGTGCAAGTTTACTCACAGTTATTGAATTGTGTTATTCATGCATTCAATATGGACTGTGTAATCCTTTATGTTACTGGTCTTTAAATTTTGGGTAATTATTATTATAATTATTTCTATACTAATGTACCATAATTATATGTCTTAGAAAATATTTATTCAAATTTTAGTGCACAACTAAGCCAAAAATGAATAAATAAAATAAAATATTCATCTCTAAAGCAGTTATTTATTGTAAAATATTGATAAATGATTGTAATTTTCAGGAGAGATACAAAAAGACGTACTGTAAATAAATGGAGGCAAAAGAAAAATTTTGAACAAGAATCAAAATTAGCAAGTGTAGTCGTAAAAGGCATTGAAAGTAAAGTATTACCAAATAATACATCATCATCAATTGCGATAGAAGAAAGAACTGCAAGCTACAAACTATTTGATGATAATTACGATGATGATTATTATAACGAAAATCATTTACAGCAGCAAAAAAATGAACAGAATATAATGTGTATGTCAGAAGAATCATACGAGCACGAGCCTTCTTCAAGTTCCACATCATCTTTCCACTTCATTAACGCAAACAACAATTACTTGAAACGGAAAAGTTGCAATAACAATTCTAATTCGACTAATACAAAACGATTAAATAATGCAACTACTTCTGATCTTGCAAAAATATCTTACAAACATCCAGAATCTTCTGGGAACACTAAGAAGTTATCAGCATTATTTCGATCAGAAGAAGAACGACAAACATTTGTGTGATTATATTTTCATAAAATAAAACGCAATCAAACACTCAACTTTTTATACTAATTTCAATTTTGGCATTCTGAAGTCCTTATTGTTGTTATTTGTATATAAAACAATTTATTTGCTAAATTAATTGACTTGTGTGCTCTTCACTTAAAAATGCCATTCACTAAATTATATATTTTCATCAAATGTTAATAATTTACTGGAACATATATAAAAGTAGTATAACTTGCTGTTTTACATTTAGCGGACCAAAGTTAAGAATGCAGACATTTTTTAAAAGTAATTTTGTGCTTTCATTATTTGCTGTGCAAATAAATTCATTACTTTAGTCATTTCTTTTAGTAATAAAAATTGCTCTGTACAAATAGAGTTAAAAATTGTGAATATCATTTCATATCAATGCCGTCAAATGTAGTAAGCCAATGAGGAACAGACAAAACTATCGTAAAATATGCGGAACCTTCAGTTTAAAAGTTTTTATAAAATAAATCAGATTCAGTCTTGGAATTGTCATCGCTGAACTTTCGTTGAGCAAACTTTCCAAACTTAACTTTTTTTTTCAAATGATCAGTTTGTCAATATTATATAACGGTGGTTCTTGCAGGAACAGTTTTCTCCCAAAACATAAAATTTGAATAGTTTTTAGTGCAGTTTTTAGTTTACGATTGAATCAAGTGACCAAAGATGTACACTTCATATATATAATCATGTGCAGCAGGTTCGAAGTTAATTGTTTTTCTGTCTTCTTGATTCTGGCGATGAATTATGTTCTGGTACTCTCGCTGTACTCACCTGACATACAATTCTACTGGCACCGGGTGCACTGGTCGGGCGCTTTCCCATATCCTTTACGGGGCTTTTTTCAACCTCACCTGTTTTGCATTTGTTTTTATTTAAGATTCCAGGTTCGGTTTTTTTGCGATCATCCTCCATTTCCTGTTTTATGGTGCAATTCGATTAGTTAACCACTCAACCGTTTGGCAACTTGGTAGAGCCCAACAATCCCATATATGTACATACTATTTGATTTACTGCTATGAAACAATTTCAGTTGCAAGATGAACATAAATGTTATTACTGCAAGTATCCGCATAATTTCGTTTTCTATGGTTTATGGATGGTTGATGAAGAGTACTCAATTACCTAGGCACAGTGCACTAATATTTAATCTTGGTCGTCCAATACATTCAGTGACCTTTGAAAGCGACCAAAGAAATGGAGAACGTATTTATTTAGTAAGCAATAATACGCTTACTGACGAAGCGGTAAGTTTCAATTAATTGCTTCATTTTATTCATTGAATAATTTCGAAGCTTATAATATATTATGTTAGTTTTTTAATCATGTAAAATTCAAATTTCTAATGAAATCACTACTAGAAAAATGGATATAAAAAAGTATGCATCTTATTAATTGCGTATTAACCCACATAAATAACACAGATAGGCGTTTATTTAGTGGTGTGAAGAAATAAAAGCATGATTTGCGTGCATAAATAGATCAGATTTGAATTTCACTGATCAAGTAATTGTAATATTTTGCATCACTTCATTGTATATCATTTTAGAGAAGCATGTTTGGTGAGAGAGTGTCGTTTATTAATAACACATTCATGGTTCGAAATCCTAACATACTGAACTATGGACGGTATACTTTGGAAGCAGATGTTGATCAAACTGAATATTTTACTCGACATTATTTTCGTTTTTACAAATAACACAAAATGAGCGTATTAAGTAGTGTAGTTCCTTACACTACAGATTTAATGTATTAATTAGTGATATTTTCTTTTTGGAGCACTTGTGAAACAAAGCTGGACAAGAATCAAGAATAGAAGCACAATTCTAGTAATTTTTGTCTCATTCAGCATTTCAGTTGAAGTGTAAAGTTGATGAGTGGAACATTTGCTAGTTAAAAGTATTTGGCACAACCATTATAAAAAAATTTTATTATTTAGTTAATTACATAGAAAATACAGTTATATTATGAAAATGTTATATACATAGAAATAGTTATGTCATGAAAATGTTAAATACATAGAAAATACTGTTATCAATTTCAGTTTTTTTTTTTCGAGTAGACGTAAGTCCAATATCATTTTTAGACTTCATAATATACTTCAAACTTCTTGCGTTTGCGCAGTGGGCCTTGTAATTTGTACAGAAATGAACGATCAGTCCCATCTGTATGATTATCGATCAGGCAATAATCAATGGCTACTCGATCTTTTTTACCAGAATCTTGAGGGGGAACTGACGTCATTCCAATTTTAATCTGTAATTTTTTTTAACCCCATAATCACATTTTACTTAAGTCCATATATTAATTAGTAATTGGGAATTGGTAATATAGAGTCAGCAAATAAATTTTTTTTTGCAGATATTTTCTTGCATTCTAAATTTAATATTCTAAATAATTTTAATATTTCTGCTACGCTTACATGTACTGTAGCATTTTGTTCCAATGTACCACATGTTGGCTGAGCAATCATACGCAAAATTGCATTAGTTTTAAGAGCCCACATTATTGGACAGGAATATTTGTTGGTTACACAAATGGTAACCGAATCGTTATAAGGTAGCTTGAATACAATCTAAATATTGCAAAATAATCGATAGTACTATCGAATATTCAACTAGTAAAAATATTATGGACTGAGTATAGAAACTGTAATCAATCGTTTAATTTTTGATCAAAAACTTGATTAATATAGTATATTCGGATTCAAATAGTAAATTACGCAATCAACTGGATCGGTGACCAACATTTCCTTCTCCTCAGTTGCTTTATCTGGTACATAGGAAGCATTGGGGTCAAGAGCAGAAAATTTTGCCTAAATATTTATCAAATATTATCAATAAATTTCTTGATGAGAACTTCATTTAGTTCTCGTAAAGTACCTTTTATTTGATAAAGCAAACAAACTTCACAATCAAGTAGTTGACATTCATCAGAATGGGCAACTTCGGTAACATCCTTAATCATTTCCTGATTAACTCCTTCTGATACTGTTATGCCCGTCATAGCACTTAGTTGAGCTTCCGCAGTTTTAATATCCATTTCATTGAAACGCTGTCCCTATATATTTGCATTATTATATTGCATACTGTAAAATTTACTGCAACACTGTCTCAATTTTCTTTTCCTCTCTTTTTCACATATATAATATAAGAATTATTTTTGTATTGTATTTAAAAATATCATATAAGAAATAAGTTTAGTTTTTGAAAATAAATATGCTTATCTATCAACTGATTACTTTAACTGAACAGACTGATTTCAATGATGCGTCGTGAGCCAATGAGGTATTCGAAACAGCGGCTATTGCCGTACTATGTGCTAGTGATGAGCAAGCCGTCATTAGTGTACTTTTAGTCGAATTCAGTGAAAGAGGACTCTGCAAAATGCTTGCATAAGTTTTGTAATGATATTAGTAAAGGCTATTTCTTTTTTATTAATTATTTACTTGGCAAACTTTTTTAGTAAGTTAAAAACTAAACAAAATTGTCATTTTTGAATAACATGTCTTGTAATATATTTAAAATGTGTTGATTAAATGTATTTACTCGGATCATAAGTTGTGAATTATCAGTAACCACCATAGTAGTGTCAAGGCTCATATCAGATTCAAATGACGAGACTAAGAAACCAGTTCGAGTAGATATTTTCGAATTGTTAGTTGCAGTATTGTGTTTATGCTGTTCGGCAACATTTCTACCCATATCATATTGATAAATAATGTTGAAGAACAGGACAAGGAGTAGTACAAACTTCCCAAAGAAATAGCCGAAAGTATCAGTGAAGACGTTATCAAAAGCAATCAGAATCCCATGAATCGACCAGTAAAATAATGTAGCTTTCTGCACAGTAAGAACATTAACACTACATATATTATTGTTTGTACAATAAATCCTCACGTTATGAGTATCTTTTCAATGATTGATTGTTAGTAGTACATAAAGGAATGCTTCAGTTCATGATTATAATTTTCTTTTTAAATTTAAAATTATTTTGAAGATTGTTTTGAAATATTTGTTAGCGCAGTCTGTAAGTACCATTGTATACTTACGTAAGCGAAGATGCGAGTTCGTTGATCAGAAAGTTGCTTGTATGTGAAAAACGCAGCAGGCAGAGTAGTACTGATGTTGCAGACAGATTTTGCGTGTTCACCGTGAATTAGGTAAACAGCAATTACAGCTGAACAAACAATAAACCACTGGCGCCAGTTTGTTTGCTTTTCTACTTTCATCATTTCCAATTCAGTAAGATCAAATTCGTTTCCATTTACTATTGTGCACATGTCTAAACAATTGTGTGTTATTTTTTTACGTAGAAATGTTGCATTCCATCTAGCTGTTATTCTCTATTCTGTTTTACTTGCATGAGTATTGTAATGAATAAAAGTTACTGCTTCTAGACAAGGCTGTATAAGAGTATGAACTTATGATGCATTAGTTCAGCTTCTTTGAATTAGTAACCAGTCATAAACTTTGTCCCTAAATTGTCAAAGAAAAGGCTAAGATATCCCCAAAAAGATTGTAGCACTATCTGACCCCCATGATCGTTTAACTCCTCCCGACTATGCTTCATATTTACACTGATCGCCATTTCTAGTAGACGAGTAGACCGAAGTGAACCGCTCGATGACTCCCAAAGTAAAATTATGAGCTTTTCTTCCCTAACAGCTACTTTTATACCTATACCTGCTGAAACTCTGCATATTATATTACTTAACTTAAGCCTATTTTAAATAATTGATAGTAGTCAAAACTTGAATTATTTTTGCATAAATAATTTAAGTATTAGAACTCATCATTGCGACATCATTTTACTTATTTTACTTAATTTGTCAAAATCTTTGCATAAATATCAGTAATAATTATCAGTTTTATTGTACGAAACAACAAATTGTGTTCATTTATCGAATAATGCAATTCAAAAATTGGTCGCTAGTATGCTTGCTATAAATCCATGTCTGGAAACAATTTGCCATCTTTATTTGGATTCATGAATGGAATACGAAAAAGAACCACTGCCTTCTGTACTGTTTTGCATTTATTGTATTCTTGTAAAACTTATAAGTATCCAAAAAGAAACTCATTATTATAAGTGAATATTGTCAAAAACGCTGCATAACTGTTAAATTGTTTTTCACTGTAATTTGTTATTTTATATTTGAATAAATGAACAGCAAAAAGTGAACAATTGAATAAAGAAGTGAATGTTATCAGACAATACACTGATTGCATAACAAAATGCTTTAGCTTGTTTTGCTTAGAATAATGTAAAAACTGATTTCTGTTATTTGTGATTAGATGGAACTGAAGGAAAACAATTGCTAAGAAAAAAATCAGAACTATAACTATTCCCAACATGAGACTATTATTCGATCTTTGAATAAGACAAATAAACTTTCACTAATTCAGAATTTCTTGTTATCAAACTTTTTTTCGAGATATCTGATTCATACTTGAAAAATAACTTTAATATTCATAAATTCCGTCACATTTATTCATTTTTTACAATTTATTGCTGGGCAATAAACTTTGAAAAATATTTGGTAGTCAAATTATCACTAATATAAAAAATGATTATCATAAAAGCTCTTCATCACCATCACTTTGAAATGCTGTATGAAGTTCCTTTCTTTCGTCGGAGCAAAATTTTTCACACAGTAAATCATCTCTAAAAAATTTATAAAAGCTTGTGTTTATTCCAATGCAACCATATAAATCAGATTCTATTATGTAAATATATGATTTTACAGCTAATAATAAACTTACGTATACAAAATGTACAAAAGCATATACAACAGCTTACGTATATATATTAAGTTTATATTATCAACTGAATTGGAAAAGCTCAAATTGTTCATTTATAAATATAATTATACATTTGTGATTTGAAAAGATATTAGTTTCAATGATAAAATTTGTTATATTTCTACAAAAAAAAAAAAAAAATCAGGAGAAAAGTTAACTTAGTATGATTTGAATTGCTATCAGCAGCTGTTGAAGAGATAAAATTGTCAAGAATCATAATGCATTCATCTAAACAGCAAATGTCAGATAGTGTCATAAACTGTTCATGATAAGGCTGTATACGAAATACACCTTCTTCAGCATTACTTACATCTGCAAACTAGCTCATATTAACAGTTATCTTAAGAAATGAAATATTAAAAAGACTTTTTAGCAAAAATAAATAAAATGATTTAGTGTATAATCGAAATTAAACTCATAAATAGAACTAACATTCAAGAAATCTCCATGCGTTGTTTGATTTTAATTTCAAATGTGAGCATTGAGCAAGAAGTTTATCAATTTTTTGCCGCACACTTTCTAATTCTTCATCTGTTTCAACATAAATTTGACCAATCTCTGTACCTGAAAACAAAAATACTCATAATTTTTAATTTTTTAAAGACTTTAATTCATGTAGATAGCAGTAGCATAATTGCAAAATATAAAAAATGTATAAATAAATTTATTTATGTGCATAATAAATTTAAAAAAAAATGATATTATTGCCATTATAAATCTGATAATGTAATATTTTGGTTGCATTTGAGTAAAAATTCTTTATCAAGTTTTTGAGTAAGCAATCAGCGAATGAAACATTTACTGTTACCATTTTTGCATTTTCCCTATTTCTTACATAGCACATATTATCATGAGAATTTTAGTTGCATACTCATTGTTATAAATCATTTACATATTATACTTTGCATTCATTACATATAATTCAATATTAGTTCCCATTTTAACTGCTAAGAAATTAAAAATTGTCAGCTTCATTTGAAATATTATAATTATAACCTTTCTAAAATTAATAAACTTTATATTACCTGTCTCTTTAAGCCGCTCAATCTGATCATGACCAGCAGCATATTCATTAGAGCTAATAAGCAATACATTTAATACTGAACATGTTGAGTTCGATTGTACATAATTATTGCTGATAGTCTGTTGACGTTTGTAAGTTTTTGGTTGTTTTCTAAGAATGGATGGAATGTAAGTTGATTTTTTAACTCGACGAAGCATTGGGACCTGTAAAATCACAACAGTATTGCAAAGATAAGAAAATGATTCTTAACAAATTAAGTACATAACAACAATGAAATTAATATTTGATTAAAAAATACATGTAATACTTAAAAAATAACAATAATTCTAATAATTGTTCCAAAGACTGAAATCATGCAAAAAGTTTGGAAATATAGAAATAAAAACAATAAACCTTGCTGTGAAAGGTTATTTCAATAATACTGGGGCCTAGAAGACACGGCTCACCATCCACTTGCATTGGTATTGCTTTAGTTGTTGTAATCCGAGCATGTGAACATTGTGCTATTCTTTCACCTTTACCCCCCATTTGTAAAGCTGCCTGACATTGCATATTTCTTTTTATCAAAATTATATACAAAAGAGACATTTTCAAGTTAAAACCGCAATCATTTACAGAGTTAAACTATTCATAGTAATAGCAAATAAAGAGATAATGATAAAGGATTAAGTATTTTGCTACGAATAAGTGTTAAAATATTTGGCCAAATTAAAAAGAATCAAAAAATAAATTTTATGGTACTAATTTTAACTGAAATCATTACAGCAATTTTTAGCTGATATTAAACTTTACAAATAGGAAGGATTTGATTCTAAGTTTTATGCATTACAGAATTTAAATGAAATGGTTTGAGCAGGATTAGTTTCATAAGAACATTTTTCAACTAATACTTCAATCCCAAATTATTAATCAAAAGCTTTTACCAGCATAGCAGTTGTAAAGCCAAGCACCTCTAATTTACCATCACAACTTGATGGCCGATAATTCCCGTCATCATCGCTTCCCCAAGGTACAGTTCCTCCAGCATAATAAGTAATATTGTGGAATAATACACAATGAAATTTGAATTCCTTAATTTTGGAAGTTAAATCAACGCCATCACACTGAAAATTACTAATTTATATGCTACCAAACAAGTGCAAAAAAAAATTTGAAATTGAAATCTTAGAAATGTGCTTTAATGCAAATATTGAAATTTATATGCATTCATAATTTAGCTTTATCACCTCAAGAGTAATATATTCATGCAGTAATTTCCAGGTTCGTTTAAATAAGTCTATAGTGCCTAATCCACCGTATGCAAGTCGATTTTTCAGTCTACTGTTGAGTATCTGTGGATTAGCACCTAAATTTATGATAAAGGATATGAGGTTAGCTTATTAAATATGGCTATTTATGTGTATGACATTAAAAAAATGAGTAATTTGCAACTCTGACAACAAATATTTCATATATTTTTGTTTGTTTATATTTGAATATTAAAAAGTTATACGAAGACTAAATTACTAAATCAAATACAAAGCTGACTTCTAGAGTGGTGAAACTGTAAAGCAACATGTGCATCAGCTCCAATACTATAATAATTATTCATAACGGTTAATGGTAAGACAGTTTGTGCACTTTTTTCTACTTCATCCGTTCGATTGCTTGGCACTTGCAAATTTTCTTCTACACTGACATTCCACCTATAATTCACTCATAAAAACTTTTTATTCCAAATATTTCGTGCAAAGCCTAAATTCTTTTTTTATTTCAATACTAATTTTTATGCATACTTTAAATTAATTTTTTAGTCAGTTAGTAGAGAAAAAAAATTAAAAGTGCTAATACAATTTTAAATTGAATGCTTAACAATTATAATCCTCATTTGAATGTTCAATCAGTATAAGCTCACACTAAGTCAATTAGGATGTATATATATATAATATTTGAATTTCTCGGCCTTGCCGAGGTTCTGAGCGGCTGTGTTCAACGAATATAAAATGGAGGCTAAAAGGAAAAAGTCCGCATCTGGAACCATAAATGAAAACAATGCAAAAACAGATGCGGTTGGAAAAAGCTATGTGAAGGGTGTAAAAGAAATTGCTGCCAGTATACCGGAACCCGGTGCCAGCAGAATAATCATGCTTGAAGCAATCGTCCGTGGAATTGAAACCCCACGAACCAAGTGGCCAGAAAAGGTGCTGCAATCGATTCTTTAGAAGAATGCCGAGATGGGGATGGCCATTGTGTCGTTCTTTGTATAGCGAGAAGTTTTCGTGTGCTATTACCCTCGAAGAACTGAA